CCATGACCCAGGGAGAATATTTAAACTATGTAGTCTAATGGACTGCAAGACATACCTGCTCCTGCTATTGGGTAGATGTTCAAAGGCATAAATGTGGATTAGGCACCCAGTGTTTTCACTGTGAGTTGGGTGCCTACCTGCCTTTTGCATCTTTGAAAGCTTCACCCTGTGTTCTTTGTTTAATATAGTATAGGCCCCAATCTTTCATGGAGCTCTATAGTGTTTTTGAATTACCTAAACTAGCAGGCTGAGGGGAGATATGATTGCTCTCTATAAATACATCAGAGGGATAAATACCAGGGAGGGAGAGGAATTAGGTGCCATTGTGGACATAAGAACAAATGGCTATAAACTGGACATCAATAAGTTTAGGCTCAAAATTAGGTGAAGGTTTTTAACCATCAGAGGAGTGAAGTTCTGGAACAGCCTCCCAAGGGGAGCAGTGGAGGGCAAAAAACCTAACTGGCTTCAAGACTGATCTTGATAAGATCATGGAATGGATGGTCTGATGGGACTGCTACAACTGCCAGTAGCAAATATCCCCAGCTGCTGGTGATAGGACACTAAATGGGGAGAGCTCTGAGTTACTACAGAGAATTCTTTCCCAGGTATCTGCCTGGTGGGTCTTGCCCACATGCTTAGGATCTAACTGATCGCTGTATTTGGGGTTGGGAAGGAATTTTTCCCGGGATCAGATTGGCAGAGACCCTGGGGGGGTTTCGCCTTCCTCTGCAGCATGGGGCACAGGTCACTTGCGGGTTTAAACTAGTGTAAATGGTGAATTCTCTGTAACTTTAAGTCTTTAAACCATAATTTGAGGACTTCAGTAACTCAGCCAGAAGTTAGGGGTCTATTACAGAAGTGGATGGGTGAGCTTCTGTGGCCTGCAATGTTCAGGAGGTCAGATTAGATCATCATGATGGTCCTTTCTGACCTTAAAGTGTATGAGTAACATGGATCCAGAAGCCACTCTGGCTCACCTCACTGGCCCCCTCTGCATTCACGGGCAACGAGCAGCCAATGCAGAGCCCCCCAGTGCTGCAACGCTCCCCACCAAAGGCCATCTTGGTGCTGCAGAGGCCTTTCATTCTTCAACAAGTATGAATAATTTGGCTGGGGGGAGGCTTGAAGTGGAGAGTTTGTGCTGTCATCAGACACCCACAAGAAAGCAAGCCTGAATTAATTTTAATGAAGTTCTGCAACATAATCATACACAGTTTATAGAGAGCTCATATAGCAAGTTTCAACCAGAAGTGAAGTTTTATGACTGTCACCAGGTCAGCTGCCTCCCTAGTGTCCCCTTGTGGTCTGAAGTTGTTCTGCAGGCACCTTGCCTCAGTTTCCCCCTTCAAGAGGATTCTTAAACACACACAAACTCCTATTAAATTCAGCACACTCCTTCCTATGGCTGGATTTATTCACCTAACATTTCAAAATAAAAGTTCTCAAATCCCCATCAAGCTTCTGCTCCAGTCTTCCTGCTGGGTGCCTTGCAAGCCTTCCCTGCCTATAGCCCGTTCCCTGAAAACTCAGGGTTCCTTGATTCTGCTTGTTTCTCCCTGAGCATCCCTCCTCTTGCAGATTCCTACTGCTCTTTAGAGAGCTCAGGAGTGTCTACTTTGTAACTAGGGTTGGTTGGCCCCAGGCCTCCAGCCATTAAAGGGGGAAGCCACCCTGTTACAGTGACTGACTTCTAAATCCCTGAAAAACAGGATTATTATGGAAACACCTTCAGGATTGCACTGATCTAATGTTGCTCCTCAAACTTCAGTAATATTATTTAAAATAAAAGTGAGTGTCCTATGACCACTTTTTACAGAGGGGAGATCCGAGGCAAAGAGATTAAGTGATTCACCCCAGGTCTCTCAGTGAAGCAGTGGCAGAGCTGGCTAGGTCTCCTAGCTCAGCGTCATGAAATGCTATTGTGTATGTTCAGATCTAAGCATTTTCACATATCTGCCCCATTCATGCTTGATCAGTGTGAAATCTGATTATAGCAACAACAAGAATGAAGCAGCATCAGACACAGGAAATGCTGCCAGGATTGTAATGAATACTCACATCTGCAAACTTGCCAGCGGAGCTGGTGTGTTACAAGAAATGAACTCAAGGTTTTTTTCCAGGGACCAAAAACATTAGGTTTTCATGACAAGGGCATGGAACTGTATTGTCTCTGCATGGGCAACATTTACATAAGAAAAGCTGACCTTTTGCAGTGGAGGAAAGTGAAACAATCTAGCTTTACAAGAGGCCAGTTTCTACTGTGGACAAAGGGAAAGCAGTGATGTCTCCTGGTACAGCAGAAGCCAAACAGCTTTTCCGTTTGCCCACAGATTCATCCTTCTCAGGGTTCTACCCACTGCCACAGTTGTATTTGATTCAAATAAATCTTGCCTCTGCTTCCTTTCAAAGTACAAAGCTATTTTGTACATCCTTGCTTTAATTTGTTTAGCTCAGGAAGCTCAGCTCAGAGGCAGCATCTGTGGAGTTCTGCTTTTTACTGGGGATGGCCAAATCTGAAGATATTCAGAGATTGTTTGTACAATCGTTTCCTAAATTAGGGGCAGGAGAGTGGCTAATAAGAGACCATGTTAGGATGCTAGGCTCTCCCTTGCATCAGTATCAGGGATATTAAGCCTATAGAGTTTGTCAAAATGCACAATAAAAAAGAAGCAGAATCCGCCCTTGTATCAGATATTTGATCAATACAATTTGGCAGACCAAACATTTCTATTGTAAATAAGCATCCCTTTCTGTGTTTTCCTAATTCTTGGCACTTCAACAACATGCTTGACATAAGTATTGCATTTCTCTCACATTTAAGTTCTGGAAACCAATCTACTTGCCTTGTTTAAATGTCAGGCAAGGCTTACAGGCATACATCTCTGACAGTGCCTTTCAAACTGAGGGCCCACTCAGGCCTGCTACTGTATGTAATAGGTAATGAGCTGGACTCCACCAAGTCTTGTTTGAACAAAGATAGGCAGGTTTATTCAACTGCAATTTGTGTGTGAACAAAAATACAATACAGCCATGTGGAAACTTAAACTGAGGCCAAACTAAGGAACTCAATTGAGTTCTGACTCAAGCAAGACTGCTGAAATCAATTGAAGACTTTATCTCAGGATTTGACTCTTAATAATATAGGGTGCCATTTTTTTGAGCAGTGCTTAGGACAGTTAGATGCTCTTTCTAGCTGCTGCATGCAAATTCCATTTTATTAAGATACCTTTATATGGTACCTGTTTTAAAAAGAGTGTTTGCTCCTCCTTTCCTTTCCCGCTTGTGCTGCCTTCCAGGGTCGGAGCAAATGTTTACCTAAACTTAGGTAAACACTAGTTTTGTAACAAGAACATTACTTGCACTTGTACTTTTTTAAAATGCATTTTTATTTCATTGCAAAAATATTTTATGCTTAAGTTAATGTCAAGATTGTCCTGGCTTCAGTCAATACATAATACATCAACATCATAATGAGAGAGCATAAGTCTTTGCTGCTTTGCATTTTTGTTAGTTTTCTTCAAGGAGATTACAACAGAAGTCGTCTCTTCAGTCTGTGTTTTGATTTCTTCCCAGACTGCACAGGAATCACAGCTCCCTCTTCAGATGAGATTATTAAATTAGCAGAAGCAAATGCCTTTTGGTCAGTTCAGGAACTGCAGTGCCTGGATACAGATACTTTTACCAAAAACGTGGAATTCCTTGGGACTGTGATGAGTTTCAACAGATCCCAGCTTATTGTCTTGAAGGAGAAAGCTAAGCAGGTAGCTATTATGTCTGCAAAAGAAACATAAATACATAATTTAATTTACTGTTATTGAAATGTGCATTTCTAAAGCCACCATTGCTGTAATAATCACTACTGCTGCAGTAATATCCATTGCTTATTGGGGAAATAATCTAAGATTAGTCATAAAATAATGTCCTCCATTGTTTGAGTCAACTGGCTAAATAGCTCTGAGCAGGTTGTGTTTTCACTTTTTAAATGCTTATTTTATTTTAATTTATTACCAGCTTTTCACTGTTCCTTAAAAAAATAAAAAGCACAAAGCAGGACCCGAGAATATAACAGCCTCCTAAGAATCAAGCTCAGAGTGCTAAACTGTTTCGAAACAGTTAAATCATACAAAAACTGTGTATGGACAGACCCTAAGTTAGGAGTTGGTCCTTTGTCTTGATTAATTAGCTGGTCATACCTAGTGGAGATCTGTAGTCAAGAAAGAAGTGACCACTACTGGAAGGCTAAATTAGAGACCCAAACTTGAAGAGGGCTTGCTTGTTATGACACCAGGCAAGCTACTAGCCTTTCCCCTATCTTGATGCTCTTCTTTCCTAGTTAATAAATAAGGCTCTTCGTTTCCAGTTGTAATTTTGTTTAAAATTTATCAGGAATTTATCTGTGTTTATTACAAAAATTTAAAAATGGGTGGAAAATCAGTGCAAAAAATTAACTTCAGTTTTCCAAATAATTATTGGTATTAATATTGAGGGATGGGAAGACAGAAGAAAAAGAAAGCAACAAAGAGAGATGAAAGAGTTTACAAAACTATTATTAGCTCTAGTCCATTACAGAAATAAAAGTTTTCTTTTTAGTTTAGTGTTGGTGACTTATGCTTGATATTAGGGGCATCATTGTAAAATCCCAAACCCTGGGTAGCATAGGGGGATGGGGATGCCTGGTACTCATGGGGGGCAGTGAGTGGGCAAGTGGTGCGGGGTGCTCTGTGTGGGAGAGAGTGCCCAGTATCTGTGGTGGGGGCAATGGGTTGGGGTGCCTGGTACTCACCACAATGTAGCAGTGACGAAGTCTTTCCTCCTTGCGAGCCTGTTGCTGCAGCAGTCAGGCAGTCTCAGCTGCCAGGACCCAGCTCCCTGTCCCTCTCACTCCCCCACTGTGAAGCAGCAGCCACCAACTGTCCTCGAGCAAGTCAGAAGATTGTGTGAGAGGGAGACCAGGTCACCATCTTTCCTTCTGGAGCAGGGAGCCACATCTGGAGAGTTCCAGCACTTCCAAAATTTGGATGAAAATCAGTAAAATCTGAATAATGGCTTTTTTAAAACCTAGAAATTTGAGAGAAAAAAGTTTAAAACAAAAAACAAACAAACAAACAAAAACAAAGAGCCAATCATACTCGCTCATTCAACCAATTTATATTCACTAACCGGAAGTCATCTTGTGTGACAGTGTAAGTATTTTTAGATAAACTGAGCGTCACCACCTTAGAAATATGAAGGGCTCAGTTCTCTGCAGTGTCCAACCTCTGCTTACACAGTGAAGAATGGGATTAGCAGACCACACAATCCAGCCCATAGAATTTTATCTTTGTTAATTACTACTTTAAAATCGGAAGTAGAGACAGAGGAGCATGTAAGTGAGTGTTCGTTATGAACCAATAGATGCTGTATGTTAATTTATTTTAAAGGTTTGGGGTGCATTGCCGGGCTGGAAGAGTTACCATATTGTTTCCCTTGGACGCATTGCCCTAGCTCTCAATGAGAGTGAAATAGAAGCATTGGATTTAAGTTCTATTGACACCGTTGCTGCACTTAGTCAACAAACAGAATGGACTCTTGTCCAGGTAAATATTTTATTAAATTTACTTCTGGTGAAAAGGCACGGGATTAATGACCCTCCAAGACCTGAAATCACCTACAAAACGAATACAGCTCCCCATGCTGCCCTTCCAGTTTTATTCAGCCAGGATCTCCAGTGCCACCTCTAAGGGTGAGAAGGTGGTTAAAGGTTCATGCCTACTTGGTCCTATGCCTCTCTGGTGAGAGGACCAATGAGGGTGGCAATACTTACCAATTGTGATAATGTTCACTATGCTCCGACCACTTGCCCATTAGGAATTAGAATGAGACCATCAACTCATTTCTCCCAGGGCTCTAAACAGACACAAATTGGTAAAAACAATTAGTCCACCCTAAATTATTCCTGGGGGAATTCTGCGCCAATGCGCAATGCAGAATTTTGCAGAAATTAATGTTGTGCGTGCAGAATTTCCTTTCCCCCACAGAAATGGCCTGCAGTGCTGCTAGCCACCACTAGGGGCTGATGGACCCAGCAGAACCCAGCTTGTACACAGAAGATGCTGCTGTGGGGAGGGGGAGAGAGCTAGAGGCTTCATGGCAGCTGCAGTTCCCAGCATGCCCTGCCCCCTGAGGGAAGGAGCGCAGGAAACTCCATGCAAGCATGGGACCAAGCATCAGGCTGTTTTCCCCTCTGGATCCCTGGGCTCGGGGGAGGGGATGGGGATGTCTGGGCTGGGAGGGTCCACGGCTGGGCTCTGGAGGGGAAAGGGGTTTGGGTATCTGGACCAGGAAGGGGCCCTGTATCTGGGCTCGGGAGGGTGGGGTACAAGGTGAAGGGAGCAGAGAAACAGGAACTGGGTTGTCACATGGGTTTCTTTAACTCTGTACTCCTGAGGGAATCTGTGTATCCGTATTGTTACAAACATACTTGCTGACAGGTATTTTGAAATAAATTACCAAAATAATTGCACTGGTGTGATCATGTAGTGTTATTTTGACAAATAAAATTTGCATCATTTTAAAATATTATGCACAGAATTTTTAATTTTTTGGTACAGAATGCCCCCAGGAGTACTAAATGCATCCAGACACTTGTACAGGTGATCTGTTATTTACAAATTATTCCATTCAGATGCTCGAGTACTCACTCTGTTCTCTCGGTATGCCTGAATAACTCCTGTTAATGCCAGTAGAATTTACATAGCGAATAGAAGAAGATTAAAATCCTTTATTTGCATATGCAACTAGCAGCAAATTTCTGTCCATGTGGTCTTGCCATCACTTCTCTTCAGCATATGACATTAAGTTGATGGTAGCTAGCATTGGCAGAGTATCAGGAATCTATGTAACAGATGTTTATGCTGAAGAGGCACTATAAGGAAACAGAAGGAACTGGAGTGTTTTAACACAGTACTTCACTTTTGATATTTCCTGTTGTATTTTAATAAATGATACTGATTAATCATTAAGCATAGCTTAGCATCTACATAAAACACTTAGTACAGTACAGGAAGGCTCTAATTTTGCAATGCTTCATGCTGACCATTTATGGGAGAGAAAAAATTACCTATAATTTAGCTCTTTTCAGTTAAGTTGAAATTGGGAAATTTTGTTAGATGCTTCAATAGCTGGTTATTCTGGTAAAGTGTTCATTTATGGCCCGGTCCTGGGAGGTGGCAAGTCTTTCGTAAGAGGTGCTAAATGCCTTCAAGTCACATTGATTGTACTGGTAGGCAATGGCACTCAGCACTGCTCAGAAGGCACAGTGCCCATAAGTGGCACTGACATTGCTCCCACTGAAGACAATAGCAAAATTCCCATTGATTTCAGCGGTAGTAGGCTCGGGCCCAGTTGAGTAAAATTACAGATCAGTTCGTAACAGCTGATATCAGTAGCAACTGATATCAGTAGCAGCTTCCAGTCGTAGAACCCTATATTACATTTATAACCGTTCTTGATCTCATTGCCTCTGCAGGCTAAATCTATTTTACAAGGGTTTCTTGAAGACACTGGTCAGACAGTCCATGGACTGAAAAGCTTTGATTTAGCAGGATTAGGAGCTAATCTGTGTGCTCTGAACACCACAGACATCAAGACCATAAAGACTACAGAATTCAGGTAGAAATACTTTATTATCAAAATTAAATAGTTTTATTTTTATGTCTCTGTTAATGGTATTAGTGGTGAAATTTGTCTCCCCTCAAGGATTTCCAGAAGCACTATTTCTAAAGAGCTCTTTTCCAACACTTTAAAAGCTTTTGGGCATCTCATAATCTTTGGAAAGATGTCTAACTATAGCCACTGAACTGTGCTCTGTTAACATTTTCTCGGAGGCCACCTCCATTAATGAAAGCCATATATTCAGCAAAATCTGCTTGAAGGGCCACTTGGAATAGGCAACTTTGCCATCTTCAGTGGCCCTTTAAAATATTCCCAGATTTTTACAAATAAATTTGTTCAGCCCTTAGTTTAGAAAACACCTGGATCAAGCAACTGATTTTCAGTGGAGCCTTGAGTGGCTGTTTAAGACAGATTCCAATGTGATCCACTATAGCTATTGAAGTGAGAAACTCAAATTTGTTGTTTAAAGCATTTTAGATTTTTTTTTAAAAGTCTGACAGTTCTAACTTATTTGCAATACCTGTATGTTCATCTATATTTGGGCCTGAAACTGTGTTTACAACTCTGTTAGCATAGATTAAGCATATTTCAGACATTTTAAACATTGGGTGTAATTACAGTATGTCATCCTAACCCCATTGCCCTTTTGCAGTGCTGTGATTGCAAGAGTTGGCTTGTTGCCATGTAGCACTCCTGTTCTAGAAGAGTTTAAGAAGGTGGCAGAATCTGTATTTGGAATTGCTGCAGAGTGGAACAGCTCTATTATACATGAGATTGGTACCATAGCAGGTAACGAGACCGACCTCTATCAGTGACGTTTCTGAAACACCATCTTTAAAAGCATTACAGGATAGGTTCAGCCCATATTGTGCTTCTCTGCACCGGCAAAGGACAGGAGTCACCCCTCCAAGGAAGGACAGGCAGCCTTTCCATTAACATCCTTCCCCACCAAAGAAAAATACTGTTAGTCTCCACAGGGTGCTCTGACTTTCCATTGCTGGGGGACCTCTGCCAGAGTCTGAATTTGGCCCAGTACATACTTCAGAGGGTTAACCTGGCTAAGCAGGGCTGAGTCAAACTGAAATTTCAGGCCCACCCCTCTGGAGGGACTGTTCTTCCTTTCACCCTTAAGTCCTTGATCTTACTTCAAAGTGAGGTGCCTACCAGCTTTCCAGCATACAGTTATCCAGCTGAGCATTGCACTGCCCACAGCTGCTCTGTCTCTCCATTTACAGGGTCCCAGACTCCTACCTTGAGGTTCAGTCCTGCAAGGGACTGAATGTCTCATCTGAAGTTAGTAGGAGTTGAGGGTGTTTAGCTTGTTGGAGGACAGGGCCTTGATCTGCTCCCTGCATGTTCATGGAACCCATTTATAGAGAGCAGGCATGACAAGTCAGTATTAAAGTTCTTCTGCTTACTCCAAGAATGTGGTCAGTTTAATAGTGACATGTTGCATGGCACTAACACAATGTATGTGTGTTGCAGGGATAGCCTTCTGCAAAAGCAGAAGCTTCCCTTGGTGAACAGAGTCTGCATAGTGATTTGTACAGTAACACCTCACATAAAGTTGTCCTGGTTAACGTTATTTTGTTGTTACGTTGCTGATCAATTAGGGAACATGCTCGTTTAAAGTTGCGCAATGCTCCCTTAGAATGTTGTTTGGCAGCCGCCGGCTTTGTCCACCACTTGCAGAAAGAGCAACCCACTGCAGCTGACTGGTAGGGGCTTGGAACCAGGGTGGACTGGCAGCCCCCCCCCATCAGCTCCCCACTCCCTTAAGTTCCCTGTGCGGCAACTGCCCAGCAGGCTATCAGTTGGTGGCAGTTCAGCTGTCCCTAGGGTGACCAGATCACCCAAGTCAAATATCAGGACGCGGGGGGAGGGGGGGAGGCC